TTCCCTCATTGATGACCCTAATAGTTTGGGGCATAATGAAATTTTTCTACAAACTTCTTTAACTCTTGAATTTATGGTTCCCATGGAGCTACTAGAGAGTTTGAACCACTAATCTTTTGGTTAGCATCTGAGCACTTAACCATTGTACCACTAGGACTCCATCCTGATTTATAGTAGGTACTTAATAAATTAGTTGAATGAATTGAATGAATGAGTGATTAAATGATAGAATGCATGACCTAGAAACTATACATTTATCCCACTGATACCGACTAGCACATCCTAAAATGTATTGAAAGAAGAAACATCTTTCTGGGATTATACTGGAGAAATATATACAACTCTCTGAGGCTGAAGGAGTGATGATGTAGTAAGGTGTTCAAGATAGAATCTGCATAATCAGGTTTTTAGAGGGAAAAGATTTTAGATATGTGTATTGGGGAGCTGGGTACTATGTGTAATATGTGGGCCAATTTAGAAATAGGGAAGTTAGTAATTCTGAGTTTTCCCATTTATATGAAGTGAATTCTTTTCCTAGAAAATTGTATGAATGTTTATGTCAAAAAAAGAATGTTTATGTCAAAACTCTATTTGCTAACTTCATCTGCTCTTTTATAACAGGAGGCTGAACAGTACCCAGGGAGAAATTCGTGTTGGCCCTAGTCATCAGGTAAAGGAAATTTTAGTAGCTTTTAAACTACGTTTTCATTTCTTATTATTCTGCTGAACTCTATTATATTGAGCAGCATCTTCAAATTGTTGGCATTGTGTATATTGTTTTAGTGAATTTTATATAACTACAGAGGATTGTTGTTTTTTTGTCCCCTCTTCAGGTTACCACATACATTTAGTTTTAAAAATTTAGAAAATCCTTCAGAAGTGTCTACTTGGTTAAGGTACCGCATATACTCATGTATAAGCCAAGTTTTTCCAGCATATTTTTTATGCAGTTTTTTGTGATAAAATTGGGTGCATAGGCCGATACTTGGGTCCACTTATACTCTAGTATATACGGTATGCTTTGATTGGAGGCCTGTTGTCCCAGGACCTGTGCCCTCTTATGTTTTATTCCATTTATTTCATTATCACTATTTTTAATCTTTAATGTTAGAAGGCTTTGTGTCATCCATCTCTTCTTAGGAGCAAAGAGAATTTGCTCACAAGGTCCCAGGAGTTTACACATATCTCTTTGCCATGAATGGATCATGTGTTTATTTCTAAACCTTTAAGGACTTAGGTTTAGCATGACTGATATGGACTATCATTGGAGTTGGAATGGATGTTGAGTTGTTGGCCACTGTGACCATCATGAACATGAGAGATGGTATAGCAGGCAATTCCACAGAGTGACAACACAATTTTAGTAGCCTGTCTCATTATACATTTCTTTTCCCATAGTTTGAGTGCTTATTAAAGGTGTGTTGTTAAGTTCTCGGTTTTCATTCACTTACAAAACATGGTATGTGGTAAAATATATATAACAAATATTTATAATTTTAGCCACACCCAAATGTATGATTCAGTGGCACTAATTATTTCATAGGTTTAATAGTTATCACCCTAAGTAGAAACTCATTACCCCTTAAGTAATAACTTTCTACGTTCCCCTCTTCACAGCCCCTGGTGTAACTACTTTTGCCTCTACGCATTTGCCTATTCTAGGCATTTCATACAAGTGGGGTCATACAATATTTGCTCTTTTGTCTCTGAGCATGATCTTTAATCCACATTATAGCTTGCACCAGAACTTTGTTTTCCTGCATGACTAAGTAATATTTCATTGTATGGCTAATACAACATTTTGTGTATCCATTCATCTTTTGATGTGCATTTGGGTTATGTCCACTTTTTGCCCGTTGTAAATAATATGAACATTCATATAAAAGCATCTGTTTTGAATTCTTTTGGATATATACCCAGGAGTGAAATATTTGGGTGGATGTAACTCTAATGAGAAAGGACTTTAGAAACGAATAGCTACTAGAACCATCAAGAACATTTTTAAAAGACAACTTTTTATCATAGGACTTGAATTATAATCATATTGAAAAAAAAAAAGCAGCATGAAGACATGCCCCTGGTGCCTCCTTGCTCACGTACTCTTTTCTGGTGTGGCCTATTATAGGACTTGACTGCTACCTGAGGACTGTGTCACTTACCTTGCCTCTTCATTTCTTGGACCTAGACAATTTAATCTAGAGGTTTAATGAATCTTACTTCGTCTCTCCCCTGACAGACTGCTTCATAGATGGAGTTAGTTGCTTCCAACAGGAGATCAGTTTGTCTCGCTTCACCATGCTTAACATTATTGACATGGTTAGGTTCCAAAGACCCATCATTGTGTGAAAATTGGCAGTATACAAAAATGAAGGATGACTACCTCATATCGTAAGATGGAAGATGAGTACATACCTGCCCTTTATGTTATCATAACAACAAATCAAATTAACAGTAACTCGAGGGGGGAAAGGCCAGCCCCCACAATTAATCGCCAGTTTGATAGGCGCAATTGTACGGGTAAAATATATATAAGGATTATAGTAAAGTCATAGAGATCATGAGAGATAGAAGAGAGACTGAAATAATGGAGACTTTAAAGCACTCCAAACAATCTCAGTTAACTTGCTAGGTTTTAAACCAGTATAACTCAGAGTTCATTGTTATGTAAATTTTGACTCTCAGAGGAGCTAGAGAGCATTGTGAGAACTTCTTCCTCCACTCCAGATGACTTGAACGACTGACAAAATTCTTAATAAATTTGTCCAGCTGTTCTTGAAGTAACTTACCACCCAGACGTTTTTTCTCTAAGTTTACCAATAAGGTTACAGGCTCAGTTAGGCCATATTGCTCTTTAGGCTTATTACACTGTTTGATTTTACCCTTTTGCAATCGTCTGTCTTGGTTAACTTCACTCATTCCTTCCATGCTAGATTTAGAGGAAGTTAATGGGTGGGTCTTAGGCCCTTGTGAATGCCCTAAAGAAATGACCCAATATCCAGATCTGAAAAATCTTTTCCCATCAATTTCTAATTCCATTTAGGGGTGTTATTTTTCCCCCACAACAGCATTCCAAAAGACCCCTTGATTTAAAGGGTGGTCAGACTTCTCAAGTACTCTTTCCTGATAGGTATAAATTTCTACTCTTGAAATGCAAGGAAGCAAAAATTGACTTAAGCGATCTTCCTTTTTTATAAACCATGCTATATCAGATTTTATCACTGCCTTAATTTCTGATCAACATAATCCCGATCAACACAGCAACAATCTGAACATTTTGAGAATTTAGGTTAGACTTTCTTAATAAACGTCCCATAGTTCCTTTAGGTACGGGACCCCAATTACTACTCTTAATTTCTGATTTAATCACAGCTTTTGGCTTTTCCTCACAATTCTGATCAACTCCAGTGTCAATTTGAATTCCTTGAGTACTTAAATTAAATATTCCTGATAGAAACTGTATTACTCTTTCAATAAGAGACTCCTTTGTAGAATCAAACTGCTTTTCTTGGTTAGTCAAACTTACTGCATCGAGAACAGAGGAGGCTGGGGTTTTGCGAGTTTGGCTAGGTCTGGTCTCCTGATGTGAGATCCGGGGATACCTGTGATTGCTGCCATTCAAAGATTCTTTGCTGGGTTAGGCAGAGGCTTTGCCTTCTGAGCTCTGTTGGGCGGGACTTGGATCAAGCTCCTTCTTCTATTTTCCCGCCAGGAAGCCTTTGCTAGAGACCATCCTGTACTGTTGAGTCTTAAATGACATTGACTCACCCATTGAGTTCCCTTCCTACAGTGGAGGCAAAGTTCAGGTTCTTTTAAACCCGAGGCCAATGGCCCTGGCTCATGCTCCAGATGCAGGCTGCAGCTCGCTCTCTGTGGCCAAGCTTGCGGTGCCTCACTCTCCTTGAAGATGACCTGTCTTCCCACAACTAAAGTACTTTCTTCTAGGTCTGGTGTAATTTGCCCAGGTAGTTGCCATGAGGTTGGCTTCGTATTCATCTGTCTCTACATTCCTGCATATTCTGAGATAATCTAACAGTGTGCCCTGTACCCTGTAGGGAACACTGTGAATTCCTTGTGGGTGTTTCCCTTAATGCTGTCTGTTAATAACTCTAATGGATGGGACAGTCTAAATCCTAAATCTCCTTCTGCAGTCCCTCTTTCTACCCTTGAAATAAATGTGCTTTCCAATACTTTGCCTCTTTGCTTTTATTTTCTGGGCTGGCCAGTATATTTTGAAGCTCCACTTCCCTAACTTCATCTTCTATGTTAACTCTCTTGGTTCACAGCCAGTGTTATTCTTGCCTCATACTTCAGTATTCATTACTCTCAAACATTGAAGCACAAAATCTGTTGGGTTGTAAACAAACTTAATATTGTAAATGTAGAATGTTGGATAACTAGATAGTCACTAAAAGAGGAATTATATGCTTTAGGGTTATTGAAGGTATAGACCACATAGAAAAGACAAGGTTCTTTATAGCTTTACCTGTTTTCCAAATATCAAAATCTGCAGTAATTTCCAGTAGTAATATCTAGAACAATGAGGTGCTTTTTTGTGTGTGTCTGTTTGTTTTAAGGTGTTGATAATTCATTAATTTCTAAATGATAAACCGATATACTCATGTATAAGCCGAGTTTTTCAGCACATTTTT